GATAGATAGATAGATAGATAGATAGATAGATAGATAGATAGATAGATAGATAGATAGATAGATAGATAGATAGATAGATAAATAAATAAATAAATAAGATATCATCACCGCGGGGAGGGAGGCGATGATAACTTCCTCAATGGCTCAAGGGGGCGTTTCTTTCAAAAAGGTTAAGAACCACTGCCCTAGACTGCCTGAAAGACCAATAAAATGGTCCTAGAGCAAATCAAGGCTGAACTATGTCTGGAAATAACAATGATGAAACTGAGGCTGACCTACTTTGGGGACCTCATGAGAAGGCAAGATTCACTGGAAAATACAATAATGGTCAGAATGGCTGAAAGCAGGAAAAGAAGAAGACCATATACAAGATGGATTGAGTTCTACAGGTTTCCGTTTACAAGAGCTGAGCAGGGCTGTAGAGGATACAGCATTTTGGAGATAGCTTGTCCATAGGATCACCATGAGTCAGAGATTATTTGACCGCACATAACAGGTGCACCACTGTGTATAAAAAAGTCTGACCAACAGTGCAACATCTCAGTTAATTCTGACAGAGATGGTCTTGTTCGATATAAATCTTCTACAGGTTTCCGTTTATAAGAGCTGAGCAGGGCTGTAGAGGATACAGCATTTTGGAGATAGCTTGTCCATAGGATCACCATGAGTCAGAGATTATTTGACAGCACATAACAGGTGCACCACTGTGTATAAAAAAGTCTGACCAACAGTGCAACATCTCAGTTAATTCTGACAGAGATGGTCTTGTTCGATATAAATGTAAATCTACTGTTCATAGATAGTGTGGGTGGGGACACTGATTGTTTGAACTGCATACTTTATGAGGAAAACACTTTGTCACATTAGAATTAAAAATAAAATATCTGATGTAATCTACAGTATAATACAGTAAAACTCAACATGGGAAATAATGCTACTATTCAACATCAAAGGTGCTACATAGACTTGCATCTGATCTCTCACTTAATTGCAGACAACAGAAGTAGCTGTCAGACTGGGTGGCCTGACAAAAACTTGGAATTTATGAACTGCAATAATTTATTGAGAATACTTAAGTGGCTTACAACTATTTCTGTGAAAGAACAATTACTTAATGTTAAATATCCAGTTATTAGAATTCAAAGTTGTTAGTATCAAAGCAAAAAAAGAAGGCTCAGTAAGTCCCAACTAGCTGTACAGAGAGAATAGGTGGACATTTATACATTAAAGTCTTTAGAAACATAAGCAATGGATATTAGCTTATAAAAATGCAACAAACACAAGTTTTGTCTTCCTTTATAACTTTTACCTTTTGAATAAATAAAAATATAAACAATCATTTCCACTCATACCAAGAAAAAAAGACCTACTTGCTTCCTGACTTGAAACTAAAGCCCTGAAATGGAACATGGATTGCTGCAAACTAGCTATTGTACCAGCAACTTTTGTGAAATTTATGTAATTATCACTTATGTAATTATCACCTTCTCTTTGTTCAGACATACATCTTCCAACACTGCAAGTCCAACTACTTCATTCTCTCTTTGTCACACCAGCTGCTCAGTAACAGCTGAAAACCTCTGTTCCCACCCACCTCACAAAGCTCTGCTACACTTAGGACTATAAAGTATTTGTTTCACTTTGGCAAACATAAACATGGTTTAAGATGCTATTCTAGAAAACCAGATACAAAATTCCTCAGGGCTTAGAACAGGCAAATTTAAATTTGACACTTATCCATTCTGTTTTTAAATTGATAAAATCTGAGTAGATGTAGCCTCAACATCCTTAATATTCTTATACACCTGTGAGTCATGAGTAAGCAGCTTACTGTCACAAAAAGCAAGAATGTATTATATTTCTGGCTACACTTAATTTTGCTAATGAGCGAACAGTGTTAAACCTTTAAGGGAGAACATGGTAATTCAAGCTAAGTAGTGTATTATTGCCCACATTTTTAATAGTAAGAATAGAAACAGAAGTTTTGTTGTCATGGCTGTAAATGAATTTGAATCATATGCTTTGGAGATGAGGATATCACAGATCTACTTAGGCCCATGCCAAGCCCCTTTAATCCACAATTTAAGATTCCATCTTTTCATGCCTCCAAATGCCCAATTCTTTCTCCCAGAGAGCGCCTTTAGTAAACTCCAAGCAGCTGCAAGTGTCCAACATCAATACTTCAGATTACATGGTGGCTATCAGAGTCTGCCTCATAGTCATCGCTTTCATAGCTGCTTATTGACATGATGGAGTGCATGGACGTAACACTACTGGTCTCACTGTCTAATGTTGAAGTAACACTACTACTTTCAGTGTCTGAGGAAGATGTGAGACTACTACTCTCACTGTCTGATGCTGGGCTCTCCAGAACAACCTGCTTCCCTGAAATGAAAACAAAAACAAATAGAGTGATTAGTTTAAAATACAAATATTTGCATGGTTTATGATAATTAAAATCACACATGATACCTAACCTCAAAAATTGATTTAGAATGTTAAGTCATTCAACATCAAGTAATCCTACGTTGTAATCACTAGCCTTGGCATGATTGTGCTTTCCAGGGGAATGCGATAGTTTTTGTGCTTCACAGGACTCCAAAGCAAATGCTCAACTCCTCTTGACTGCCAGATGAGAGAAAAACTCACCTATACGCTACCTTTCAGGGAATGTAACACTGGTAGGTGTGCAAGACTCCTTGAGGCAAGAGTTTCCAATGATGGGATGGTAGAGTGTAAGAGATTCTCTCCCTAGCGGCCATCAGCCTTACAACAGATGGTGGAGATACATACAGGAGAGCCTCCACAAATAGTCCCAAGGAACAGGCAGACTGATGCAGGCAGAAACTCTCTTCAAAGCACAAGATGTGTCCACTTCTTAAAGGTCTCCCATCATTCCCAAACCTAAACAGTAGCTGCGTCATTAGTTTGTCTCTGTTACACTTTGGGGAGGACAAGTAAAATATTTTGTTTGTTTTTAAATTAAAGGACAGTTAAAGTTTAGGAACATACAATATTTAAAGAAATTGGTTGTAGAAAAAGGCATCATCAAGATGATTTTCAGCCACCATTACTGATTGCTCATATTTATTGTTTGGTACTCTCTATATTGTATCGTAGATTTTGGTATAAACGAAAAGTTAAATAAGAGGAAAGAATGATACACTCTCATAAATTACAATATACTTTGCACTTATAATTTTCTAGAGCCAGTATTTGTAATAACTCCCTGATTAGTGTATTTTGAGTGTGGAGGGGGAAATGTGAATCATTTTAAGTATCACTACCTATGGAGCAGCCTTGAGATCATTGCTTCTCTGGAAGGAAGCTTTATCTCCCAGCTGTTGCTGATATAGTTTAATCTTGAAAGTCATGTCAAGGTTTTTCAGAGGAAGCACACAAAGAACCAATATGAATTTCGTTAAAATATCAGATTGGCTCATCTGCTTTGAAGCCCATTTCTGCTACCAATTCCTTTCCCACATAACTTACTCAAAGAATAGAACTGTGGCCACTGCTGCAGGTTTTCTGAGCCTCCAAGTAAAACGTTTCAGATATACCTTTTTATTTAGCTGTTGAATATTTGTTTTTTATTTAAACCATTTAATAAATTTGCCTTTTCTTGAAAAACTAACAAAATTGCTCACTTCCCCACTGGTGTAAAATAAGGTAAAGGCTTCTAAAATTATCTGAATAACCATCTCCAAATGAAAGAAGCCTCCTTTATATAACCCTTCTATTTAAAGGTGCAACTGTTCCAAGTAGATATATTAAGACAAAGGAAGTCAACAGTTAAAACTGAAGCAAGCAAACAAACAAAAACAGATGTACAACTTCTTTCAGTATTATTACAGTAGGGCCACAGCATCCCCGGGGATCAGGTCCAAGCCTCCCCAGCCTGTGGATGCTGAAAAATGCATATTATAGCAAACAGCTATTTTAATAGCGAACAGACATGGGCTATTCATATTCGCATCTCTGGGAATTCGCATATGAAGCTTGCCACCACAGAGGCTCATTCCTTCCCCTTAGAACCAGCTGGTCGACTTGCCATTCAGCTGGCTCTTTCAACCAATAAGTGGTCAGCTGCGCGGAGAAACAGGGAAGAGCTGGCCAGGCTCTTTCTGCAACTTGGCACAACAGCAACGATGGAGCTGAGCACTGTGTGGCAACCAATGAGTGGACTGGCAGGTTCTAGAGGAAGAGGAAGAAAATGGGCCTCTGTGGCACCTGTAGTGCTACTACTCATATTCATATCCCTGGGGATACGAATACAAATAGCCCATCTCTAATAACAAATGCTATACAGTGGTGCCTTGCCTAACGAGCACACCGTTTAACGACGAATCCGCATAGCGATGCGGATTTTGCGATCGCTTTTGCAATCGCATTGCGATGTTTAAATAGGGTAAACATTGCATTGCAATGATCGGTAAGTGTTTCGCTTACCGATCTTCGCATTGTGATGTTTACAGAACAGCTGATTGGCGGTTCCAAAATGGCCGCCGCGTCAAGAAAATGGCCGCCCGCAGCATTCTCGCACCGATTCCTTGCTTACCGAGGCGGCGAAAATGACGGCTGTATGGGGAATCTTCGCCTAACAGTGAGTTTTGTCCCCATAGGAACGCATTAAACAGTGTTTAATGCGTTCCTATGGGGTTTTTTGCCCCGTATAGCGACGTTTCCGGATAGCGACGATTTATGCGGAACGGATTATTGTCGCTATGCGGGGCACCACTGTATATAGCATGGTCTCTGTTTCCCTCTATTGGCCAACTGTAATTCCTTCAACTTTACAAATACAGTGGTGCCTCGCGAGACGAATGCCTCGCGGACGAAAAACCCGCAAGACGATTGGTTTTTGCGATCGCTATGGTGCCTTGGAAGACGGTTTCTTCTATGGCCACGCTTCGCGAGATGGTGTTTGTTTGTTTTCTCGAGACCGATACCTCGCAAGACGAATAAATTTCATTCATCTTGCGAAGTTCCCATAAGGAACCTCACAAGACGATTTTTTCACAAGACAGTGATTCTCGCGGAACAAATTACATTTGTCTTGCGAGGCACCACTGTAAATATTTCTAGGATTTTTAATATTTTCAGACTGTGGGTCCTTTTAAGGAGTAAAGCAGGATAAAAATATTTTAAATAAATAAATAAATAATCAATCAATCCATCAATCATGTCTTCCTCCCAATACAATAAGTAAATCAGATCTTGGAAATTTTACTTCTTTGGTCATGCTAGCTGTTGGTTTCTGGGAGCTGTAATCCAGAAATATTTTTTTCCAAATTCTAACAAATTAGCTGGCTACTGAAGCGTTCCACAACGGAAGACCAGCAGAACAGATATAGATAGATAGATAGATAGATAGATAGATAGATAGATAGATAGATAGATAGATAGATAGATAGATAGATAGATAGATAGATAGATAGATAGATAGATAGATAGATAGATAGATAGATAGATAGACAGACAGACAGACAGACAGACAGATAGATAGATGCATGTGTGTGTGTATGTATGTATGTGTATGTATGTGTATGTGTATACACACATACACACACACACACGTAAGAATGAATGCTATCATGAAATGAAGACGGTGGTGGGATTAGCTAGTCCACACACAAACATACATGTAAGAACGAATGCTATCATGAAATGAAGACAGTGGTGGGATTAGCTAGTCAACCTGCCTTTACAGTGGGGAAGGCAGATCTGTAAAATATCTTGTTACAAATATTTTACAGCACAATTATTTTGTATTGTTGGCTTTGACACTCTGGGCCCAAAACAAAGTCTGAACTGTAGTGAAAATGTTTATTTTAAAAATCTATTTTTATCTATTTTTAAAATCTATTTTTATAGATTAAAAAATCTATTTTTATCTATTTTAAAAATAATGATGAACAGAATTAATCATTAATAGAATTAATCATAAATGAATAGAATTAATGATGTAATAGAAATCTACCTTCACTTTCCTATCAATACATTTCTAATTAGTTATTATGGCATGCAGGTAACAAGGAAAACAACAAATCCCTAAGAATGAAGGACCCACCTCTCACCTTTTCGCTCTTGGATGAGGGCCAGGCGATGACGCTTTGTTTCATCATCCAGGTTTTCCACCATCCTATCAATACAGTTGTCTAGAACCAAGGACCGTGTTTTGGATATTATGATTCTTCTACATATTGGACACTCCAATCTACGCTTCATCCATTCACTGATACAATAGGAGCAGAAACTGTGTGCACAATTTAGCGTGACAGCCTGTAAAGCAAAGATAAAGATTTAATACCTGCCCTTAGTCCCATTTTTGAAAAAGGATATATATCCAGTAAATATTACTGGAGTGCTGTCTCATTCATCACAAAAATGGAAACAATTTATACGTCTCTGTTTATAAGGAAGTTTCTTTTTGGAAAGAATTAATGATATATTAGAGAACAATGATCACTTAGGTTAGTGTGTTTTTTGTGGTTAATTTGAAAGGTTACTTTCCAGCTCTGCAGTTCTAATACTATTGTTGTTATAAAATCAATGTAATACATAAACATACACCCAATTTTAAACACATAGAAAGCAATCACCAACAATGAGGAAAGGCAAAACTATTAGGGTATCAGAGAACACAAGACTGCATCTATCCCCGGCATACAATAATATATAAAAACTTATGGAAATAATTCCCAAATCTCAGTTTCACTACAGAGAAAGTCCTTTCCCAAGTGGCCATCCACCTAACCTAAAAAGATGGAGGTATCCTGCAGAACAGTGGTCCCCAACCATTTCTGAACCGTAGACCAGTTGGGTGGGGTGGGGGTCTGTGTGCAAGGGGGCACCCCCCGCACTCGTGGGGGGGTGAGCTCGTGCGGACGGCAGGTTTCGCTCACGAGGATGGGCAGGGCATGCTCCTGCACATACGTGGATGGGTGGGCCGTGCGTGCGGGAAGGGCATGCGTGGGGGGCATGTGTCTGCGGCCCAGTCCTGCCATGGCCACAGACTGGCACTGGGCTGCGGACTGGGGACTCCCGCTGCAGAATCTCTAGAATGAAAACATTCCCTGGTTTGTTTCTAATGTGTCCGACAAAATATGCTCCCTGCATCTATGCCTTCAGTACCTTTTTCATTTGGCAACTATGACACATAATGTTACAATACAACTCAGCAATTCTATCTTGTTTCAGTTTTCCCCTTTAAAAGCATTAAAAATGTAAAAACAGAACCACGCACCCACCCAGCTTTTAGGAAAAAAGTAGAGGAATAGCCTTGCACTCTATTATACTGAAATGTAGAATGGCTGGGCCAGGATCATGTTTACTCTCTTTCTTTCAGAGTGTGGAGGTATAAAAATGAGAAAAATGAAGGAAAAAAGGGATAAATCAGGGTTGATCAGCTGTCTAATAAAGAAGCAAACTATAGCTCTAAACCTATATTCAAAATGACTCTTTTCTCCCCATAGTCCTCCTAAAGTATTGCTCCAAGTACCTTCAAAGTAAGCAGATACACACATTTAATTTGCACACATGCCTTAACTTTACAGGAACAGAAAAAACAGCTCTCTTCACCATGGCTTTAACTGATCCCCAACTCACAACAATTTACTATGACACAGTGCTGCTGCCTCCTTGAGTCTCCTAGGCTACTGACCAAAGACACAATGGACCTATCTCCAAGTGAATGACAAAAAATGATAATATTCTTCATATCTGTTAAATCAATTTTCCCAGTTTAAAACAAAAATTGTTTCATGTAGCAGTTCTTCAAGAGGATCAGAAAGCATCAGGTTTCCAACATGAAATTTTCTCTTTGAATTATTCAGACAGATGATTTTGCTACGCATATTCATGTTCCCAAACAGAAGACCGTACCTCATCCAATCTAAACAGTAACAGTAGTGCCTTGACTTACGAACGTCTTGACTTGCAACCAATTCAAGTTACAACCACCTCTGGTTTGACTTGCGACCGGAGCTTTGAGATACAACTGGGAAAAAAGGTGGGGGAAAAGATGGGGAATTTAAACTGCTAACCGTTGGTGGGTGAAGAGGCTGTTTCTCTGTAGCTCTTTCACCCCAGCGTAGAGAGTGTGCGTTCGGAGGAGGCTTCGGACTGCCTGGTACCGCTTTCTGCTATTTTAAATATCTGTTCTGAGTGAGTACAGGGTTTTGCAGCATGGGATGGGCTGGTGGGGGGTTGTTTCTGTGCTGTGATGGGTCTTGCAGTGTTCAGGTTTTTTGTTTTTTTTTTATTAATTGCGTTCCAATGGGTCTTGCAGTGTTTGTTTGTTTGTTTTCCCATGTGTTTTTTTTTCCGGCTGGAACGGATTGTCTTTCCGATGGGTCTTGCAGTGTTGTTGTTTTCGGTGTGTTTTTTTTTCCAACAGGAGCGGATTAATCACATTTCCGATGGGTCTTGCAGTGGTATGAAGGAGAAGTATGTATAAGTGAGCCGTCCGTAGTAATCAAGGCCATAGAAGATAGAGAGAGTGAGAAAAGCGAAGAGAAACAAGAGGGTGAAGGCTTGACAGTTGCGAAAGAGGCAGGAGAGGTTGAATCTAAGGAAAAGGTGGGAAAGATAGAGATTTGCTTGGTAGAAGAGGGTAAAGGGGGAGATGGGGTGGAGCAAGAGTTGACAGTGTGGGAGGAGGATATAAATGAAGAGGGTGTGCGTTGGTTCAGTTCAGTTGCAGCAAATTATGAGAGAAAGAGGAGAGAAGAATGGAGAAGGGAAATTGAGAATATAAGAACCCAGGGACTTCTAAAGGATTTCCTGAACCCGAAGGTAGGGGGACTACTGCCGGAACCCAAGTCAAATGAGACAAAGCCCACCCAGTTCATGACTAAAGAATGGACTGTGATTGTAGCACCGCGCGAGCTTGAATTACAAAAGGAAGCCAAGATTGTCCATAACCGGTTTTATGACCGTCCTGACAAAAGAGGCTGGATTCGCCACGCGTGCTGTGGGACGATCTGCGCCCTGAGAAGCACTCCTCCCTGGAGGCCAGATTACAAGAAACGGCATGGGAAAATTCACGGTTGAGTCCGTGGGACTATGGGAAAAGTTTTGGTTCCATTAGTTGTGGCTTGTTGCCCAAGTTGAAACTCTTTGACCCCACAAGTAATGTGCTGGAGGAAGTAAGTGATAATAAAAATGACAGTTTAAAAGTTATCAAGACGTCTCCCTTCTTATTTCTCGCGGACCCAGAGGAATTGTCCAGAGAGAGTAAAGCACCCAATCACAAGTGGTTTTTGTTTTTCGGGGGGGGGGGGGGGGGGGGCGGAACGGATTAATGATGTGCAGTGTTTGTTTTTTCCATAAGAGAACTATGAACGGTTCTTCCCGTTTATGGAAAGGATCATCACCTAGCTTACTGAAGGAAAGGTGATTTTCATAAATCCTTTCATCTCCCTATAGCCTTCTGTGCCAAATTTCATTCTACCCTCCAGTAATTTGGAACATACTTCACTGGAGGAAACCAGTGAAAATTAAGAGCAAGAAGTCCTTTCACAGAATTCTTCTTGAAGGATTCTGACATTCAGTCCACTGAAAATGCATGTATAAAAACGATTCCAAACAACATTAAAATTGACACCAACTGACACCAACACAGTAAGATAAAATAGCTAGGCTATTAATGCTTCCTGAATCTCTTCTGTTTCAAACAAAAATATGACACACTTTACCTCAATAAAATGTTCAGAGCAAATTGTACACTGCAGTTCATTCTCCAGTACATCATTCATCTGGCTCAAAGCTTCCTCCTTTTGTGCTCTTGCCTTTTCTTTCTCTTCCTATATCCCAAGTGGACACAAAAGGAAGAACAAAAGGTAAACAACTGTTCAGGATTCAGAATATGCCAGAGATGGGAAACATACTTCATACACTAAAACTGTGATTTCACTAAAATATCAACATCTCTGAAGTTATTTCCAAATAATGCAAACATTTCCCACTTTCCACACTAGAAACAAAAGAGGAAATGTGAAGGTGGCTTAACTTTTACTTCTGGAGAAGAGTGGCTTCCTTGAAAGAGGTGGATTTCTACAAGGTCTGAACCATCAAGCTTCCCCTGTGGCATATCTTACTTCTGTTCATACCTTGGTCTCTTTCAACTCCCTATCCTTGGCTTTAATTATTTCTTCAAAATCCTTCTTACTACGACTCAGTTCTTCCATTAGAGCATGATGCTGAGAAATAAGAAGTCAAACAGGAATTCTCATTAATAAACCAAACAGACATGCCATTTTCTCTTTTACATCTCTTCAATTTGTCAACACAGTATGTAAAAGTAACTTACTTGCTTCCTGTAGATGATTGTTTTATAATAATAATTAAATATATTTTGATTAGAAAAATGTATGGGCAGAGCGTAAAACTTTAATAAAACATAATGCTAATATACAGAGAACAATCATACTGAAACAAATGTATAATGGGAAAATGTGTAACTTCAGTGGTTAGAAGAAACCCTCACTGAAAACCAATCCTGTCGTATTGTTTCACCAGTCTCTCATATGTGGCAGTCAGCGTACATATGAAGCTGCCTTAGCAGCTAGTGAATTAGTCCATATAGCCCAGATGGTCAATAACCTCTCCCAGATCTCAGCCTAGGACTTTTCTAAATCATCTTCCTGAGATGGTAAAGCCTGAACATGTCAGGAACTGAGTCTCAAAATTGTCTTTGATAATAATAACTGAACAGTAAGGGCTTGTTATAGTGGCAGTCTTCTGTTATAAGGCCACCATTGCTAAAATCTATCTTATACCCAGATAGAGAAATACAGTAATAGTATACTTAAAATTTGTGCTGAGTGTGGGCATAATAACCAAACAACTTTAAATCATAAATCTATTGAGAGTACGCTCAAACTGTACTGTTACCTGTGCCAGAACCTGTGCCAGCTGTTCCTTCAGTTTTAATTCTACATGTTCCTCCTTTGCTCCCTGAAAAGATACAGAGGATGTTATTCACAATAGGAAGTAAGCACAGAAACCCCCCAAAAAGTCAAATGCACTTTCCTTTCTTCTGTATAAATTTAAAAGAACAAAAATATCTGCTTACTGTGTTAAGACCAGAACTTCTAAGATAACCTGCAATTAATCCTTCACTAGAGGTCTATATCCCCACCTTACTCTTCTAACATTACTTCTTTTCATGTTCAACAATATAACACCCAAATTATTTCATCTCCACCTGGTATATCAAATTCCAAAACAATCTCAGGTGTTTCACAACAGGGCTATTGGTCTATGTGGCTATGAATGAATATTTTTCTGGAATTTATTATGCAGTTTCAGATCCAAAATAAGAATATTGAACTCTCATATAGTTCAGTCAGACTTTAATGCCATACAAAAAGCAAAACAATGATGGTGAAGAGTGTTAAAAGAGGGGCCCCTCTATCACTGGTCAACCGTCAGCTACTGATGTAAACAACAAAGAGGCATGGGTCAACTGAGAGGAAGATTCCTACAACAATACAGATGCTTCAGAAGGCAATATAGACTAGGACAAGGTAGGGGATCTTTGCTGGTTCCAAGCACTCCATCTGGATTCTAGAGAGAAAGAACAAGGCTAACTGTGTTCATACAGGGCAAACAATACATAGGCATTATTTGTGATGCTCTGCAACAAGATCACAGAGGCCCGTTGGCCAACTTCATGAGGTAAGACAGTGAAGATGATGAACGTGAAAGAGTAAGAAAGAACACTAAATTCAAAGAAGTCAGTATGTCATCTTATGTTCAACACCTATTCATGGCTGGTATTCAGGTTCTCAGGCAAGTTATTTATCTTTCAACAAGCTGCTACCTCACTTGCACACATACCTCTCATTTCACCAGATGCATATCAGAACACTTCTCATCGAGTTTGACATATAAGAAAAATGAAAAGATAGGGATGGGGGGTGGAGAGGTAGTTTTGTGACTGACAACTCTAGTTTATTTACTAATTCATAATAAAAATAAACTAATGTGCATACCCCCCCCAAAAAAAACCTCCAGCTTCAGTTTGAAAATTTTGTCAGTACTTGACTCCATGGGATTTAAAGGAATATAAAAATCTTAATGATTTTGAAATGGTGCTCAGAACATCATCAAACCAAAAAGAGAAATTCTTTCTTGAACAAGCCTAAACAAAGCTGACAAGTAGTTCTTACAAAAATTTATGTGAGGGTTCATGTTTTACCTCCCCGGTGTCCAACTAAGACTCTGGAGACAAGTCTGCTGTAAAATCATAACGAGTTTTTATTGGAACATTTAACAATAAATCTTGTTGTCAACCTTAGTTTCAATCTTCTCTCTTGTCACCAACGGGTCCGGCGAGGGCATCCAAACATCTTTAACAAAGGGGTTATTAACCAACTCATCCCAGGGTCCCCTCAAAAACGGGTTACTGTCTTCAAAGTCGTGAACCATCATTTCTGGGTTTAAAAGCGGAGTGGTCTCATCATCTCGGCTCTCCGTCCCATAGGCATCCTCCTCTTGTCGTAGAGGGGTCCAGGGTCCGTTAAGTAACCCCTCTTCCGGGCTTCCTCTAAACGCCATGCCCGGCATTCCCACTCCTCCCAGGAAACCGCTTCCTTCTCCTCTCTAAGACGTCTGCGCCACTCCCGAGCCTCAGACTCTCCCCAATAAGGATGCTGCGACAGACCCATTCTCCTCCAGTAGCCTGCCTCCTCCCGAGGAACCCTCACTGTTTCCCATTTAATGGTCCATGGGTCTTCTACCCATATCATCTCCCTACCCCCCCCCCAGTATCGGGTCAACATGCCCTTTTATATCCCCCATTCCTGCCTCCACGGCGGACCTCACCTTTTCCTCTCTTCCCGCCAATTCACTTTCTGTTTGTGTGGCCACTGTCATTTTCAAAAGTTCCTACTCCAACTCCCGCGTGTCACTCCACACTGATGGGAGGTGTAAGCGGGTTTGTCTGTATCTCCTGCTCTCTATTGAGGGAGGAAGACACTCTAGCGAGAGTCTTTACACTCTCGCCTCGAGTCTCACAATTTATCAGAACTATTTGATTTGCCATTATGAAAACTGAAGGAAACAGGTCAATGCATCAGTTTTTGGCATTTTTACAATTTATCAGGTTGGTTTCTACTTTGTAGATGGCATTAATTAATAGTGCAATGGGTATCACTTTATAAGGAATACAATATTGAAGCATCTAACAGCAAAACCATTTTGCAACTTGTGTTAACTATATCCCTTTACTAAATAAAGCAGGTACTACAAAGATACCTTGTCTACTGTCCCATTTGAAGAAAATCACCCTGGACCTCACCCTCCAGAAAGCACAGATTGTCTAGTAGTGGAATCAACAGACAGACCTTATTTCCCTTCAGAGGAAATGAACTATTGCAAGACAGAGTAACAGAACTCATAACAAACTAAGGATTCTATCAGTAGATAAATGAATAGCAGTACTGTAATGTACTGAAGAATGCCTTAGTGCTCTAAGCCAAATAGATATTGGATAATGTGGTTAATTAAAAACATTTTTCAATTCTATTTTAACTTGCATCTCATAAGTTTCTTAAACCATATTTAAAGCCAGTGCAATAATATATTAAGAAATAAAGAACTGCTGATACGAAACAGGGTGAATTTTATTTAAATCAATTTGATTTAAAATATGATTTACATTTTAAAATGTAGATTTTCTCAATAATTTTAATTTTAAAATACTATTTTTTATTCAAATCAACTTGATTTTAAAAAATCATTGAATTTTATCCAACCTGATATGGAAAATGTGCTTATGTCACTAGGAAAAGATACAATGATTTAGAACAACAGTGTATGAAATGCTTTAAAGTATGCTGTGTAGTTCATCTGACTGTATGCTTGGATTTTTCTGAAATAAAAATCATTACTAAAATGTTATTTTATTTGTAATCTTGATTGTTTTGCATTTTTCTGTCCTCGGAAAAATATTTAAATGTAATAAAGAATACATTAGATTAGACCATGGCTAGTGAACCTCTGCCATTCCAGCTGTTTCAGACTTCAGCTCCCAGAATCCCCAAGCCTAAATTGCCAATAATAAAAGACTGTGTGAGTTGTAGTCCAAAACATCTGGAGTGTCAAAGGTTTGCCACTCCTGTACTAGAAAACCTGACTGAGAATCACTAACTCCCAGCTATGTCTCTAAAATCAAAAGAGAAATTTTCTCATTTCTCTCTTTGTTCAAAACATGCTAAAGATATCTTCAGAGTTGATATAAAACATCTGACTACTTTCAACCGATTCTAAATGTGCAGTGTCATTATCATGGGATATGTGGTTAGAAGTGTGTCATGATGATGGGATACGTAGTCAGAGAAATGTAAAATGGAGCCAGAATGGTTCTGTGTGGAGATCATTTGAGGGACTTTCAAATGTGTTTTTCTAAGCACCATGAGAATGTTTTTCTGAGACCGTTACAGCCAGGATCCAGATATCTTGAAGGCCAAACAAGAGGCCCGTGGCAGACTCAACATTCCAAGCCTATTACAGAAGACAACAACACCTGGGCTCTCATGGGAATTGGGGGCGGAGAGAGGTGGTACAACCTCTAAAAGGTTAATTGGTTAACAGCCAAAAAGACTGAGAAAAAGGGAAGAGTTAGGAGGGTAGAAAATGAAGATGGGTTAGTTTGTTATTTTAAATGGGAAATAGGTATTTTATTTAACTGCTATGATCTTTGAAGTTCTTGAATGTTACTACTTTTGCAATATACAGTGATGCCTCGCAAGACGAAATTAATTCATTCTGCGAGTCGTGTCGTACTGCGAAAATTTCATCTTGTGAAGCGCGGTACTAATGGTTGTGCAATTTAAAACAAACCCCCCAAAAAAGGAAAAAAATCATCTTGCGAAGCACGGCCATAGAAAAATTCGTCTTGCGAGTTGCCAAAAAATCACAAAACGCTCTCGTCTTGTGGGTTTTTCGTTGCGTGAGGCATTTGTCTTGCGAGGCATCACTGTAAACTGATTTTCTAATGAAACTCTATTTTTCTAATAAAAATTAATTCTTAAAAATCCTTATTGAGGACTGGTCTCTTGAACAGCAGGGTGTGGCTAATTCCAGTAGTGAAGAGGGCCACAGATTTGCTATCATTTAAGAGTCCTACCTCACTGAGCTGTTGTGAGTTCTAAGGAATCACAAAGCCCAGATGCCTGTACTTGGTAAGTACTAAGTAAGTGCAAAGTGTTCTTTTTAAGTAAGACTTGTTCAAAGGGCTTATGCTACGCACTGCTGAGGTCTAGGGACTCGATCCAGCGCATAGGTGGTAGATAAGTGCCAGCGAACGTTCTGACCAAATGCACCATGACCCTTTAGTGGGCTGGGAGCATCCCATGCAGCATCACTGAAGTAAGGAAATTCTTCTGCTTTGTTTCACAGTATTTCCAGGAACAGGGATTCCTGTTTTGGTTTCTATTTTGTTACATATACTTTGCACTACTGTGAAAAGACCATGAGGAATCAAATGGGGACAAAGATAATTGTAGACCTTTGGTCTAGATGGGCTGGGTA